CAAGAGCCCCCCACAACAGCCCCAGTCTGGAGGCGGTTTGCCTGTGGGAGTGATTGCCGGCATTGCTGTGGGTGCTGTGATGCTGCTGTTCATTGGCGTGCTGCTGTGGTGGAGAAGCTATAAGAAACCAGCAGCACATAGACCAGGTAATGTAAAAATTATAAAGAGGACTAGAATCAGAAAATTTGTATCTTCTTCCTCCATCCTATGCTTACCGTCCTTCCATTCCTCTCTTAATCTCCTCCTTTAGTAATCATGAGATTCCTGCCCATGCGTATTGCGTATACGCGAGGGAGGTCATGCGTATTGCGTATATACGCTTGTGTATTCACTTGTTTTGGGAAATGAGGGAGGGCGGGGACGAAGAGGGGAAAGAGATTGAAGTGCTTTCAGTAGAGTCCTGATAGGGTATTGAGAATAACGGTACTAGGATTGTTTCTAGACGTCTCAACTACCGGCCAGTGATCCAATCGCATCTGTTCTATTCGAGATATAGCGGACAGCTAAGGCGAAACGTTGGAAAGTGCGACTTTGAGATCTGAAAACGAATAGGATTCAGAATCAATTCGACACAATATCCCCCCACTAATCCATAAGTTATGTCGCCGCTGATGCGAAACGTTGAGATTTACTTACTAGTAAGTTATGTGAAAAACTATCGCCCCACCAGTCACCTCATCTGAGCACACACAAGGACATGGCACGAAGGAAGATCCAGAGGAGTCAGCAGCAGCAGCGGCAGCAGTAGCAGCCGCACCACCAGCAGCAGCAATGGGGTCCCAGGATGAAGACGTGTTGATGGAGATGGGATTGGAGATTGAGAAGAATGCAGCACGGCCTCATGTATGCCAGGAGTATGCCCTGGAAGAGCTTGAAAAGGCAACAGCGGAGTGGGCCGAGGAGAACAGGATCGGCAGCGGCAGCTTTGGCGATGTGTACAAGGGCGTGTCTCCTCAGAGCGGCACTCAAATGTGGGCAGTCAAGCGAGCGAGAGTACTCACCAACGAATTCCAGACTGAGGTATGAGTTGCAATCAACAGCATGAGTGATGTGTCCAAGGGCGTGTCTCCTCAGAGATGCTCTCAAATGTGGGCAGTCAAGCGAGCGCGAGTACTCACCAACGAATTCCAGACCGAGGTATGAGTTGCAATCAACAGCCTGAGTGATGAGTCCAAGGGCGTGTCTCCTCAGAGATGCTCTCAAATGTGGGCGTCAAGCGAGCGCGAGTACTCACCAACGACTTCCAAACCGAGGTATGAGCTTTTTGACTTGAAGGCTTCAACACCATGAGCGAAAGGACTCACCAACGTCCTCAGAGGTATGAGTTATTTTTATATGTATACATGTTCAACTCCCTCTGTATACCTATTCAACTCCCTCTGTACATATTCAAGCCTTTTCCTTTCATGATGTCCTTTTTTGCTCCCACTCCCTCTGTCATACCCCTCACCCTGCCCTACCTCCCCTTTTGCCCCACTCCCCCACCCTTACCTGCCTGCCCTTCTTCGCCCTCCCTTTCCTTTCCAGGTGAAGGAGATGACGAGCAAGCACTGCTTGCATCCAAAACAGATGAGTTTTGCGGCGCCTCAAAACTCTCCCTTCCCCTCGCTCTTCGCCCTCCCCTTACTTCCCAGGTGAGGGAGATGGCATCGAAGCACCACCCGCATCTCGTGCGACTGCTGGGCTATTGCATTGACTTCAACCCATCCACGCGCCACATAGAGCAAATCTTGGTCTACGAGTATATGCAGAACCACGACCTTGACACTTGGATTGGCCCGGGCGCCTCCCAGCCTCTTTCCCTGCTACAACGGCTGGATGTGCTGATTGGAGTGGCAAAGGGATTGCAGTATTTGCATGAGTTTGGCATTGTGCATCGTGACATCAAGCCCGCCAACATTCTCCTGGATGCAAAAATGCAGGCACGTTCACTTTACCTATTCACTCCCCCCTTCCCTGCAACAACGGCTGGATGTTCTGATAGGGGTGGCAAAGGGGTCGCAGTATTTGCATGGCATCGTGCATCACGACATCAAGCCAACCAACATCCTCCTTGATGCACGAATGCAGGCATGCTCTTGCTGATCTATTCATGTTGGGTAGAAATCGGTTAACTTGTTGCATGTGATGCAAAGGTTTGCTCTTTGCATGCATTTCACGGCCCAAGTTTGATAGCAAAATATTCTATGTGATCATGCATTTTCTATTTACAATCAGGCCAAGATAGCGGACTTTGGGCTGGTGAAGCTGAGTGGAGGCACCTCTATGACGGCCACTCGAGTGATGGGCACACCAGGCTATGTGGACCCCGCTTACTACAAGACACACAAGGCCACACCAGCAGCAGACGTGCACAGGTGGGTGGTGAACAAGGTGTCAGGGTGGAGAATGTACAAGCGGGGAGGCCAGATGAAAGGCCTTGTGCTGTTTGCCAATGCATGTGGCATTTTCTGTCTCTCATACTATTTTCCTTCGCATGCGGCAGTTTTCCATTTCTCATGCTATTTTCTTTTGCATGTGGCATTTTCCGTTTCTCATACTATTTTCCTTTGCATGTGGCATTTTCCGTTTCTCATACTATTTTCCTTTGCATGTGGCATTTTCTGTTTTTCATACTCTTTTCCTTTGCATGTGGCATTTTCCATTTCTCGTACTCTTTTCCTTTGCATGTGGCATTTTCTACTTATCATGATGTCTACCATTCCATGTGGTATTTTTCTGTTGCTCGTGCTCTTCTGATGGCAGCTTTGGGGTGGTGATGCTGGTGGTCATAACGGCCCGCAAGGCCGTTCACATGGCAGACGACATTCAGATCAACCTCAAGCAATGGGTGAGGCTCAACACTGAGGCAATTAAAAAACAAATCGTGTTTCTAAGCGCCATCTAAAAAGTTATTATTCTAGGCCACTGCAACAGCGACGGGAGCTCGAAGAGGAGACTCCTTCAAAAGGTCGTTCTTCTAGGCGGGCAGTAGCCTCAATATAGCTGAATTTCTATGCACCTCAGAAAGGGTTGGCTCACATGACAGATGACATTATCAACCTCACGCAACAGGAGAGACTCAATTGAAGCAAATAGTCGTAGAACAAAGCATGGCAACCAACCCAAAAAGTGCACTCAAGCATTCTCCAGCCTCTTTTTGGCAAATTATGACATGAGCCCGCCCTTACAGTTCCATGCCAGATTCTTACCGGGCTTCCTTTCTTCCAGCAATGCAGGCTGCTCCTCTGGAGGCATCCGGCTCAGTGGCATCCTTCCATCCAAGGACCATCATCAGCTGTGTGGCGCCACATATTCATTTCGCAATGGCCAAGCAGTTTCTACAAAGCCACATAATCACATCGCTGTGCCCTATCATGATGCCCCGACGCAGGTGGCTCTTCAGGTGGCATCTGGCGAAGTAGCGGCATTCAAGGCCTCTCACTTGATTTCTCACCGTTACTGTAGCGTGCCAGATTTTTACTACGCATCCATCCTTCCCACTCTGCTTGCAGGTGGCTCCTCTGGTGGAATCTGGTGACGTGGCATCCTTCAAGGACCCTCTCTTGGATGCTCCAGATGACTTGCTGCTGCGCCTGGCTCGCCTCGCCCTCACCTGCACGGCCATGCCCACGGCCTCCCGCCCCACCATGGGCCGCGTGTTGGGGGATCTGCTGGGCATGAAGGAGGAGGTGATTGGGAGTGCTGAGGCGCACAGAGCTGCATGCCGCATTGACAGAGAGATCGGCAGCTCAGCGGCTCACACAGTGGACTTTGATGCCCAGCTGGCCGGAATAGAACAGATGGGAGCGCAGAGCCATTTGTCTGGAGATGCATGACTGGCACAGAGCTGTGTGCTGGCTGGGAAGCACAGAGCTGAGCTGCATGCCGCATTGACAGGGAAATTGGCAGCTCAGCAGCTCACACGGTGGACTTTGATGCCCAGCTGGCTGGAATAGAACAGATGGGAGTGCAGAGCACTTCATCCAGAAATGCATGATTTGTTGTGGGTGCGAACCTTTGGTGGTCAGCTGGCTCGTGTGCAGCAGACGGGCATGAAGGAAAGGGTGCTTGGGGTGCGCAGGCACACGGAACTGCACGTTGGATTGACGGGGAGATTGGCAGCTCAGCAGTCCACGTTACTAGACGGTGGACTTTAATGCCCAGCTGGCTATTGTGGAGCAGATGGGCCAACGGAGTAGCTCGTCTAGCAATGCATGAATGATATGCACAGAGCTACATGCAGTATTGGCAGGGAGATTGGCAGCTCAGCGGCTCACACTGTTGACTTCGATGCTCAGCTGGCTCGTGTGGAGCAGATGGGAATTCAGCAGATGTACCCGGAGAGCCATTCATTTGCTGATGCATGCGCTAATGAGTAAGATCACAGTTCCTTATGATGCATGCGTTCATATGTAACCATGTCTGTATACATCAGGATCAATATAAGGCAGTCATAAGAAATTACGGTAAGATCCAGGTTAGTGAGGTTAATTTGCACCAAGAGGATGCAATGCACCAAGATTTTTTTCACTGAGAATATTAACACTCATAAATCACCAACTACCTACACCAAATAAAGGAAAAATAGTGTTCACTTCGAAATGTTCGTAGATTGTGATTTGACTATAAGAAGAGTTTGTTGTGAAGGTAACAGCCTTTCTCTCTTAATGGGCAACACTCGAATTACTCAACGGAAGTCAACGCAGGAAAACAGGTTTGGGAAAGCAGAGATCTGAGGTTCGAAAACCTCCCATAAACGTTTCTTTCCCGAAACCAGTAAGAGCGAGACACAAACTGGCATCATTGTGAAAGCCTCTTTGCAATTCGGGGGCTGGGCTTTAAATTAAAGTAGATAAAATAGCTATGTCATTCATTCTTTGCCTTTGATCCCAACCATCCTAGCTCCCACTACGTCCCCCAACAATGGCAACCCTGTGTGTGTGTGTGTGTGTGTGTGTGTGTGTGCGTGTGTGTGTGTGTATGTGTGTGTGTGAAAATGGGTGGTGCAGCACTCACACCTACAACACATCATGCATCACTAGATGAACGGCCCTGAGTTCCCATCTGCTCCACACGAGCCAGCTGGGCATCAAAGTCCACTGTGTGAGCCGCTGAGCTGCCAATCTCTCTGTCAATGCGGCATGCAGCTCTGTGCGCCTCAGCACCCCCACCTCCTCCTTCATTCCCAGCAGATCGCCCAACACGCGGCCCATGGTGGGGCGGGAGGCCGTGGGCATGGCCATGCAGGTGAGGGCGAGGCGAGCCAGGCGCAGCAGCAAGTCACCTGGAGCATCCAAGTGAGGGTTCTTGAATGCTGCCACATCACCAGATGCCACCAGGGGAGCCACCTGCATGCAGGGTTGGTTGTAAAAAGGAAGCCTGGTGAGCATTCGGCCAGGCACAGCACCTAGTCATCTGGAGCGCCCAGGTTCTACCAGAGGAGCCACCTGCATGCAGGGTGGGAAGAGTGGAGGCCGTGGGCATGGCATTGCAGGTGAGGGCGAGGCGAGCCAAGCACAGGATTAAGTCATCCGGAGCATCCAAGTGAAGTTAGGGTCCTTGAATGACGCCATGTTGTCAAATGCCACGAAGTGAGCCACCTGCAAGCAGGGCTGCAAGGGTGGAGATTCGGTAAGAATCTTGCTAGCTACAGTTATGGTGAGCATCCATGTGAGGGTCCTTGAAGCATGCATGCTACAGCACCGAATGCCACCAGGAGAGCCACCAGCAGGGAGGTTTGGAAGGATGGAGACCCGGTGAGAATCGAGCGCACTATGGCAAGGGTGAATTTAAGACATGCCAGAGATGCAAGAATAAACCACGGCATGTGTTGGGCTGGCAAGTTACGTTTTCAGATGGGTCAAAACGCGATAAGAGCCCCTGCAATTGTTGGGTTGGGTGGTCCCATGTTTATATCCGTAGGTCAAGCCTCACCCATTACCTGAGGTTGATCTGAATTATGTCTATCATGAGGTGAGAGTGGCGTGGGGCCACCTAAGAAATCTGCCTTTTTTTCGGCGCCTCGAAGATGTGCCTTTTTGTGGGTGCCTAGAAAATCTACCTCATATTTAAGCGCCTCAGAAGTCAGCCTATTTTTGGGCGCCTCATCAAACAGCCTTCTTGTAGGCGCCTCAAAGCTTAGCCTCACCCATTGCTTGAGGTTGATCTGAATGTCGCCTGCCATGTGAACGGCCTTGTGTGCCGTGATCACCACCAGCATCACCACCCCAAAGCTGCGCACAGAAGAGCATGAGCACCAGAAAATTGCAGTTGCTTGCATGAGCACCAGAAAACACTACGTGACATGGCAAAGAGAATGAGAGAAAGATCACACCACATGCAATGGCAAACAGCACAAGGCCTTCCATCTAGCCTCCTCACTTGTGCATTCTTCCACCCAACACCTTGTTCACCACAAACCTGTGCACGTCTGCTTTTGGTGTGACCTTGTGTGTAATGTATTAGGCGGGGTCCACATAGCCCAGTGTGCCCATCACTCCAACATGTATGAAAACAGCGGCTTACACAACTCAACACCGCACTTCACCTGTGCACGTCTGCTGCTGGTGTGGCCTTGTGTGTCTTGTAGTAAGCAGGGTCAACATAGCCCGGTGTGCCCATCACTCGAGTGGCGGCCACAGAGGTGCCCATAGAGGTGCCTCCACTCAGCTTCACCAGCCCAAAGTCCGCTATCTTGGCCTGTACAAGCAAAGATTGGTTAAAAACCAGAAATGCACGAGCAAATCCGATTCTCAAATCACAATTGCAAGAGAAAACCAATTTCCAAATCAGTAATGCATGAGCGAAATCCCATTCTCAAATCAGAAATGCATGAGCGAATCCGATTCTCAGATCAGAAATGCATGAGCGAATCCGTTTCTCAAATCAGAAATGCATGAGCGAATACCATTCTCAAATCAGAAATGCATGAGCGAATCCCATTCTCAAGTCAGAAATGCATGAGCAAATCCCATTCTCAAATCAGAAATGCATGAGCGAATCCCATTCTCAAATCAGAAATGCACGAGCGATGCCATTCTCAAATCAGAAATGCATGAGCAAACCCCATTATCAAATCAGAAATTCATGAGCGAATCCAATTCTAAAATGCATGAGCAAACCCGATTCTCAAATCAGAAATGCATGAGCAGAATCACAAAGAAAACTGAAGCATCAAACTTGGGCTGTGATGGCACGACTCCTTGAAGCATATGAAAGAGGCAAAACGTTGCACCACATGCAAAAAGTTGGTCAGAACAATTTGACTGATTTCTCTGCAACATGAACAAAAGAGGAAAAGCATGCCTGCATTCTTGCATCGAGGAGAATGTTGGCGGGCTTGATGTCGCGATGCACGATCCCAAAGTCATGCAAATACTGCAACCCCTTGGCCACTCCAATCAGCTCATCCAGCCGTTGCCTCATGGACAGAGGCTGGGAGGCACCCGGGCCGATCCAGCTTTCAAGGTCGTGATTGTGCATGTACTCATAGACCAAGATCTGCTCGATGTGGCATGTGGATGGGTTGAAGTCAATGCAATAGCCCAGCAGCCGCACGAGATGCGGGTGGTGCTTGCTTGCCATCTCCCTCACCTGGGAGGGAAGGGAGAGCGACGAGGGAAGGGGGAAGCGGGTTAGGTGGGGGAATGGAGCAGAGAGTGGGGGACATGGAAGGGCACCAGAGAGAGAGTGGGGGCTGTCAAGAGCCCAGTTGTCCATTTCGTTAATGGTGGTGCCCGTTGTCCATTTCGATAATTATGGTGCTTTTTACTCATCTCCTTTATGTGGGAAGGAAGGGGAGGGCGATGGGGGAAGGGGGGGAAGGGGAGGGGGTGGGGAGAGGGGTGGCAGGGCGAGGGCATAATAGAGGGAGTGGGAGCAGAAGAAGAATTATTGAGCATCAAGGCTGGAAAAGGTACTGAACGTAGATACATGAAAATTGGCTCATGATGTTGAGAACATCGCTCCTGGTGGAAGTGAGTCATCCACGCTCGCTAATAGTGTTGAAACTCATACCTCAGTCATGGTGTTGATCTAAGCTCATACCTCTGTCTGGAAGTCGTTGGTGAGAACTGGCGCTCGCTTCACCGCCCACACTTGGGAGCAGCTGTGTGGAGACACGCCCTTGTACACATCGCCAAAGCTGCCGCTGCCAATCCTGTTCTCCTCGGCCCAGTCTGCTGTTGCCCTTTCAAGCTCCTGAAGGGAATACTCCTGGCACAAGTGCGGCCGTGCTGCATCCTTCCCCGTTTCCCATCCCATTTCCACCACCACGTCTGCATTCTGGGGCCCCATTGCTGATGGTGCTGCTGCTATCGCTGCCGCCGCCGCTGCTGCTTTCTCTGGATCTTCCTTTGTGGCATGTAGTTCTGCGTGTTCACATGAGGTGACTGGTGGGGCGATAGTGTGTCACATAACTTACGAGTAAGTAAATCTCCACATTTTGCATCAGCGGTCAATAGTGGGGCGATACTGTGGTAAAATGATTAGAACTTAATTTTGTTTTCAAATCTCAGCAGTCTGCTAGACCTAGAATAGAACAAAGGTGAAAGGATCACTAGCCGGTTATTGAAATGCCTGAAGTACCGCATAACATTCCCAAGACTTTCTCCAAAGCACTTCGATTGCTTTTCCGTTTTCCGTTTTTCTCATTACCCAGAACAAGAAGCCTAGTGCGCCGCTTACTTAAGGAGGGGGAGCATCAGATGGAGGAAGAAGAAACAAGTTTCCTGAATTTTAGTCTTCTTTACAATCTTTAAGATACCTGCTCCATGTGCCGCTCGTTTCTTATGGCCTCTCCACCACCACAGCAGCACGCCAACGATCAGCAGCATCACAGCACCCACAACAACGCCAGCAAACGCTCCCAGAGAGAAACCGCCTCCAGACTGGGGCTGTTGTTGGGGGCTCTGGAGGTCGGGTAAAGCTTCAGGTAAGAACGGGGTTGCTGAGGAGGAGGATGGGGACTTTGCGTTGGGCTCTGGAGGTAGGGAGGGGGGTGTTGAAGGTAGGGAGGGGGGTGCTGGAGGTAGGGAGGGGGGTGATGAAGGTAGGGAGGGGGGTGCTGAAGGTAGGGAAGGGGGTGATGAAGGTAGGGGCAGGGGGGGGCTGGAGGCAGTGAGGGGGGCGCTGGAATTTCAGAGGGCTCAGGAGGTAGGGAAGGGGGCGCTGGAGGTAGGGAGGCGGGCGCTGGAGGTAAGGAGGTGGGCGCTGGAGATGGGGAGGGCGGTCCTGTAGTGTGGATTGTGAGGGGTGGACAGGGATGAGATGGAAAAGGATGGGCTGCAGTGCAATGGGAGGTGGTGCATGGCAAAATTGTGAGGTTGAAACGTGTGTTGGAATGAATGGTAAGTACGAACAAGAGCACAGCCTCACTGCTGATGTGGGTACAGAGAGAAAAACAGGGAAATGAGGGAGGGAGGGAGAGAGAGAGAGAGAGAGAGAGAGAGAGAGAGAGAGAGAGAGAGAGAGAGAGAGAGAGAGAGAGAGAGAGAGAGAGAGAGAGAGAGAGAGAGGAGAAAAAGGATATACATAGCTTGGAAAGTAGAAGTTGATTCCCGTGGTATTGCATTGACACATGTGGTGAAAGAGTAATGATGTGGTGAATAAGTAATGACGTGGTACAAGAGTAATGATGTGGTGAATAAGTAATGACGTGGTACAAGAGTAATGATGTGGTGAATAAGTAATGATGTGGTACAAGAGTAATGATGTGGTGAATAAGTAATGCCGTGGTACAAGAGTAATGATGTGGTGAATAAGTAATGATGTGGTGCAAGAGTAATGATGTGCTCAATGAGTGATGATGTGGTGCATAAGTAGGGGCGGGGCGCATAGGTCAAGGCATGAGTAAAAGGCGAACTTGAACTTGGCTCGCTGCCAAGCGGAGCCCTAAGCTTGGATTTTTGCTCATGCCTGATGGTCACTTAATGCCGAAAATCCATTTCACAGAATTCTGATGTTTGGGAGACGACAAAGAAAGCCTCAGGATCTGTTTTTGGCTCACGTGGTGCTGACTGTCCACATGTGGTGCAGGAGGGGCACGTGAGGCAGAAAACGCTTTGAGAATCCTGCTGAACCACACATGGAGTGTAGTTAGCTGGGCATGTGACTTTGTTCTCATCGAAATCCCTGCATTTGCAAGAGGAAGAGTCAGTTGTTTACAGGTCAATTTATTGATGTGAAAGCTTGGAGTAGCGTTTCGAAGCAAACAGTAACAGAAGACCATGTGTGTGATGGTGCTTGCAGACGAGCTTTGCATGCATGGACACGCTTTGCACCAGGCTTGGTAGTCCACGCATGTGTTGATGCTTGCAGACAAGCTTTGCACGCATGGTTTGCAGCATTTCAGGGAGAAAGCAGATGCGCTTCTTACATGGTTTCAAGCTTAGAAAGCTTGTTCAATGTTGGGGGAAGCTGTCCTGTAAGATTGGTTTTTGATACATCCCTGCACCAAGAGATTTCTCAGCACAGGAGGTTAACAGATTGACCTGTATGTATGCGGATAAGAAGCACCAGTGACTTAGTTCCTAATAGCAACTGAGGACAGCAATAAATCCCAGCAAGCGTCAGCTCTTCAGCAACCCTTGCCGGAAACAGCTTTTCACAATGGACAACGCTGTTGAGACGGATTTTGAAGCATTAGGCAGCCGAGATGGTTAATACGGAATAACCACTCAAACCACTCCATTCCAAGTAATCTATTGAAAGCGGAAACCCCCTCGGAGAAAAGCTATCGGCATGGAGGTCTGTGACGCTCCCACCCTTGCTTATTTGCACTCCAGCTTCTTGAAGCCAACAAATGTCCACCCTATCTAGCCCCGTCTCATAATGTTAAGATGTTTGGGCACCGAAGCTCCATCATGTAAACATGTTTAGACGTTTGACTTTGTAACCTAAACTTTTGAAGTAATAGTTTCCACAGTTTTGACTGGAGTCTACTGGTCTTGCAAAACTCTCTAGGCCAGAAAGAAAAGCACTCACAAGTGACAAAGATCTGTAAGGTTGCCGATGGAGTCAGGGATGGTGCCTGTTAAGCTGTTGTCAGCAAGGTTCCTGATATGGGTAATGATGGGAGAACATTGCAGGGGGGCAAACGCCGTGTGGATACAGGGGGTGACCAGATTGACCAGATTCTATAGTGAAAAATTACGTTACAAACATTAAAAAATCAGACATTTGATTCTTGTCTTGTCTATTTGATTAATGAAAGCCTAAAAAATGTTGTAAGGGTAACAGAGTAGTATTCTGATCAAATAACTCACAAGTCAGTCATAAGAA